GCTTTCGCAAAGTAAGATTCCACCCAACCCCGTAAAATAATATAATTTGGAAGAAAATATATGGTTTATATATATGCAAACCATAGATTAAAATATTATATATTTGAACCTTATAATTTAAATAGTTATAATAATAATAGAAAATAGAGCCTTCAAAAATAATCCATGTCTCATATCATACGTATATTTTGGAAAAATAGTAAGAATTCGAAATTTGGGTTATCTACAATACTCCCTCCGTCCCAATATAAAAGGCACATTTGCGTTTGGGGAGTTTTTAAGGGTGAACACTGTTTGAACACTGTTTGACACTGTTTGGCACTGTTTGGACACTGTTTGGCACTGTTTTGTTTGCCAAAAAGGGAAATGTGCCTTTTATATTGGGACGGACCGAAAAGAAAAGTGTGCCTTTTATATTGGGACGGAGGGAGTATAACTTTAAAAAAAAAATAGAAACACGAAAAAAATAAAAATGTAATAAAAAATCACTAGCTTTGACCACAGGAAAAATGCCAACATGCATCAATAATGCATTGGTGATGCTATCTTTATGCCAAAGTTCCAGAGAAAATTTGGCATAAAGAGTAATAATGTTATCCTAATGGCATTTTTGGAGATAAAGTGGCATTTTTATATACAAAATGACATTTTTATATACAACATGTCATTTTTATATACAAAATGACATGTTTTTTTTATATTTTTATTTATTTTTTAGATTTTTATATTATTTTTTTATATATTATAAATTAAATATTTTTTAATTATTTTTAGTTTTTTTTACAAATAAAAAATGATTTTCTTATTAAGTTATGGTAAGAGTAGATGTTGAGGTTAATTCGTATGGATTCCAAAGGCCTAACACAACCCTTTGGTTATCGCTAATATGTTTATGAAAGAAAGGAAGTGAGAAAGATGGTCCACATACGAACGATTCAATAGCCCAACTGTATTAGGAATACTGATTATAGGGAAATGGCCGAATGGGAGTTCTGGACGAGTTGCTAATACAAGAGCTAGAGAGTGATATATTGCTAGTGAGTATCAAAATGTCAAATCTTTACAATGGAATAAATGCTACTATTTATACTAGGGGTGAGTTGGTGAGATGGATGACGATGTGGCCGATTCTGATTGGATGATCTCTTTATAACTTGACCCCCATACTTCCATTTGATCCCCCATACTCCTAGCATTAAATGCATCCCCCGCCACTTGCCAAGGCTTCCCGCCAACTGCTTAGGCTGACCTTCCAAGGATGGTGCCAAGTGTTAGGTTCAGGCCGTTCGGGAGTGGCCGATCGGCAAATGGTCAGGCAGGAGTTACCATGCAGGAGTTTATTGTCCCTATTTGTATTTGCTATGCTCCGCTACGCTTGGGCCTTTTGGGGGATATTTTGTGCCGGATATTGGGTCGGGCCCTAATATCCCAACACTAGAATATGAAGATATTGTATACTTTACTCCTAGTTTGATAAGTTAAATTCCATATATAGTCCTATTTGTGCACTTTTGGTGTCAAACAAATAAAGTCCTATTTATGCATTTAGGGATTAGTTCACTCCTATTTAAGACTGTTTTCTCTTTTTTCTACTTGTATGGACATCAAAGCATCTCTAATGCTCTTCTTTTGACATGGCAAAAATTTGCCACATCATCAATTTAAAAGAGTGATAGTAATTTTGTTTCCAATGGATTCTTTTATAAATCTATTATGCTGACATGGAACAATCACTTTCAATTCTTTGTTGGAATTTCCAATGTATGTTTAACACCATGACCCAGCCAAAATAAGAGGAATAGGTCTAATTTGACACAAAAATAGCATGCAAATTCTGAAATGTGTAGTGGGCGACTAATGACTTTCTATAATTTTAGCTTTTCCGTTCAAGTGCTCCGTTTAACATTGATAAATATTTTAAGATCTTAACTTTATTCATTGGAGAGCTTTTATTTAATTCACCGGTTGATGTGGATAGACATAATTCTAGATAGTTGACATTAGGCAAAATTTTGATTCTTTCAAAAGAAAGCATTGGAGATGCTCTAATAAGTATTGAAGTAAGTAATGCATTTGCGGCAATAATAAGTGAAACTTCCCGCAATTCCCGAAATCACTATATACGTAATATAATACTAGTTTTAGTAACGCGCGATGCGCGATGGGGTTAGTGCCCAATACCATTTAAATTATGTAAACACAACTGTTTTTATTTAATACAAAATGTGATAGGTTTGGGAAATGTATCTTGAAGCTAAACATTCAAACTCGAATAAAAGTATGGTTGAAATCGTCCTTTTCCTTGAACTTGACTATGCACAAGAGTACTAAATTGCCTTTATTGGTTGATTAGCATATAAAGGTCTGATCTATTATGGCCTCTACTCAATGCAAAGCATAAACAAAGTTTACAGTAATGAACCTTGTGCGCCACACACATATAGAGAAGATGAATAATTTGAGATTGAGTTGTTAATTAGATCTCCTAAAACTACACCATTTATTAATGTCAAAGATGTGAAATAATCCAAAATCTCTCTGAGAGCAAGTTTTTGTTAGTCATAGCATGTTATGAACATGCAAGAAATGTTATTTGATATAACTTATAAGGTTCAAGAGATTGCTCCAAATATAAACCGACGTTAGTAAATAAGACATATAGGTGAAAGACAAACGTAAGATGGACGCTATCTATTGAAAAATTTCACGATTACCATTTCCATAGCATCTTACTTTTGTATTTTATGGGTACACTAAACATTAGTCGAGGAACAAAGCTTTTAAATCACACTACTATATATTTATTTACTCTAAATCATTCTGTTAAACCATTTTATGGTTAATTCAAATCATTTAGTTAAAAATAAAACTTTATTTGTTTTTTGGACAAAAATGATTTCAAATTTGAAAAAATGAAATACAATGTATGACATGTGACCTATTTTGATTTCACATACTCCGTATTGAAAATGGAGATAACGTATCGATATAAGTTCATATTGACGCCTTAATATAGACACATACATAGCGAGAAAGACGATCGGCCTCAGGTCAGGTAGTTTAGTGTGTTGTATACGGACCCTTATTGTCATTTAATAAGATACGACCCACTGCTGCAGATATATTCTAGCCCATCTTAATTGCTTGCACTCTATACTATCACACACTCTTCCACTTGAAATCCTTTTTATGTATTGGGCCCCGGATTGAAGGGTACTACTACTATACCATATACTTTATTATATATTGCTCCCTCCGTCCCTTAAAACTTTGTCAACTTTCCTTTTTTGGATGTCCCGCTAACTTTGTCATTCTCTCTTTTAAGTAAAGAATTTGTGGTTCCAGTTAATTCTTTCTCCTCTGCACAAACCTCAACCACACAGTTTTTACTTTATTAATCCTCGTGCCGGTCAAACTTGGCAAAATTTTAAGGGTCGTAGGGAGTATTATGTTAAAAAAATCAGCCAACCTATCACAACCGGGAGTTATACGGAGTACACACTACGTTTCACGAGAGCTTTTCTCTCTATGCGGCCGTCTCCCCTAAGGTTAGGAGTTGTTTTTCTCCGTTATCGTCTACGACGAAGTGCGGCTTTCATCCACTTTTCGTGAGGCTCTCTTCTTCGATAGATCGCAACACCTATATGGCGACCAAAGGTTGTGTACCCTTAGCAATAGGTGGAGAGATTCGAGGATGTCAATCATGGTTGAGATCAGAAGGTCATGGACGAAGCGAGGGGCTAGGTGTTGGAACAGATCCGGACCGAAGGCAAGGAGCGGAAGAAACTACAGTACTGTTGGACCGTCCCCCTCCTGAACCACCGCCATGGAGTGCAAGAGAGTTTAAGGTTTGGAAGCAATATCTTAATTTTACTGTTTACTTGCATTATGATTGGGTGATGGGGGGTCTATTTTAACCATCATTGGCTCATTTATGCCAATTATAGGATCAACGAATTATATTGCTTTTTTGGGGGTGATTGACTTTAAGTCTAGTTCGAGGACTGACAGTTGCCTGTGGTCCTTTTGTTGTTTTACCTCCTATCTGAATGTTGTAATATCAATGTAAGTCATATGTTCTGATGATTAAAAAAAGAAATACTTTATTACATTATTAATAAAAAACTTTATACTACCTCTACCTTATACTACTCGCATCCGGGCTTCAAGTTCCTTATTGAAAAATAAGTAGGGGTGGACTCGGGCCGGTTCGGGCCCGGCCAGACCTCGGTTCATGAAAGGGGAGGCCCGGAACCTGCCCGGGTAACCCCCGAGTCCAGTTCAATTTTTTTTTGACTTTTCCTAATTAACCCCCAACCCTCCCCCTCACCCCCAAACCACCTCAAATGGCCCAAAATACCCAGCCCAACCCAAAAACTTGAAAAAAATTCAAAAAAAATAAAGAAAAAAAAAATTGGCCCGGGTCGGGCCCGAATCGGCCGGACCAGTTCACCTTTTGAGGGGCCCGAGCCCGGACCGGAACCCCAGCGGGTTAGGCCTACCCGGACCGGTCCCTGGCCGGTCCGGCGGTTCGGGCCGGTTCAAATAGTGACCGGTTCGGGCCGGTTCCGGGGCGGGCCGCCCGGCCCGAGTCCACCCCTAAAAATAAGGTATTTATTATTATGAAATCAATGATGATAATTGTGATGCTATAAGTAGTATTTTTAATATTTGATGATTCAATTGTGATTTGATAGGGCTAATAATTTCCTAAAATAGAAATAGAACAATTACACGAGACACAAGTGACAACCGTTATGGAATATGGACAGATGGAGTCTATATTATAGAAAATGAAAAAATACTGATCACAGGACCGGTTCCTGTCTAAATCTTCTAGTCCTGATTTGGGTGAATTACCATCTCAGTTCTAGTCCAGTTCCAAAACTAGGTTCACCTCTAGGACTACGGAACTCAGGCATGACAATGGACATTTGAATTTCACATTGCATGGACATAACAAATAAAAGCGGTGTAGTTCAATGTGGCGAAATCATGGAGGTTGAATTGATAAAATCTTTGCAGCTTTTGGTGTCAATTAGAAAATTAATGTTTTAAGTAAAAATGAATCAATAAGAAGAGTAAAAAAACTTCAGATGGTTCACATATATAGGTTAATGATTATCCTTCAGTTTTTATTGTTTTTAAATCAAGTAAGACGACATGAGATTCCAACTAATTTTCATATGAGATGGCATTGGAGCTACAAAACGAAGGAGATCAGGTTTTGAAACTGTGTCCTTGCTACCGTTGACAGTAAAGCTTTCTAACGTTTTACCGCAATGAAGCTTTAGAAGCTTGGCAATGTTGGGAAGCAGAAGCTCCCGGCAATGCAAATGCAACAACGGAACCTTAGACAGCACGCTTCCTTTCTGCACATCCAACCCTTCTGGTCTCCTCATTCTGTACGGTTTCCCAGTCGTGGGCTCCACGTCAACTCTCGGCATCTGCTTCCACTTTTTATGTACAAACCAGCCGTACTTGTAATCACCCACAATGGGACAACCCAGTCCTTCTGCACAGTGCACACGTAGCTGTGCAGAATAACATGATTACTATTTATCAAGGATCACTCCAAGATGGTCTGATTCATGAAGAATATCAATCTCTGTAAAAAGATACTCCCTCTGTATTCTTAAATAAATAAATGTCCATTACGGAAAGTTGTGGTTTTAAGTTGGACATTAATTTTGTCCTGAACATAAAAGGTTTTGAATGAAAGAAGCAAACACAAAGTAAATCTGGTAGGCAACCAAGTCACTTTATTGCTCCCTATGTCCCAAAATGAAACCCGTCCCAAGAAAGTCACCTTTTCCTGATAAATAAAAATTGCTAATAAAAAATTACATGTTCCGAAACTGCACGAAGGGTACTATTGAATCGCAAAAATGAATTTGAGTGATAAAATTTCATTTAAAACCCCAAAGACTTAAAAGAATTTGTGTTAGGCCATAGGAAACGTGGACGCCAACTTCATTAGAAGGGTGAGTGTGTTTTAATTTATTGTTAGCTAAACGGACAATTATGTGTGAACAAAATGTCTTTAGTAAATAGATATATTACACAAATTGACTACATTACACAGATGTTGTCTTCTTTCAGAGAATAGTAAAGAAATAAGTGTGCAGGGTAAATATGAAGAATAGAAAAACAAACTCATTTCACCTGATGTTTTCTGCTTGTATGTGGACGCAACTCTATCCACGAACATCCGTTGATCATTGGACCCATGACACGGTATTCTGTAATAGCCTCCTGGGAAGATTCTAAGCTCGAGTTGTGAGCCAAGATAACCCTTTCAGTTTTCCCATTGTCAAGAGACACCTGCGGGAGAACGACAGGAAGCCATCAGGGTCTTCATTTTTCTTCACCAAGTATATCCAAACAGTAGGTGTCTGTTTGGATTTCGGAGAATTCCAGGGAAAGAAAAAAAAGTGGGGCGAAGATGAGCTTAAAACAAACAATAAATAGTTACTAGCTTCGTAATCCAAGTGTTGCTTTTTTTGACGGAACTTTTTTGAAGCAAAATATAAATATATGTAAAACCAAAAATATTTTATAATTAGTAACATTCCATTTCATTTTGAACTTTCTAAGGTAAACTAAAGTTAGGAAAGTAACTTTAGTTTCCCTAGGCCTTTCCTTTTCCGTGATCCAAGCGTAATCTAGGGCAATAGGGATAGAGAAACAGAACCTTTGAAAGAGGCGCACAAATTAAGCCTTCCTTTTCTTTGGGGGAACCTATTACCAATGCCCAATATCTTCGATATGTTGTCTTACAAGAGTCATGCAACACCTGAAGAAAATAAAAGGCACTTAATTTTGAAGGGAAAAAAACAGTTGCAATAAGGAAAGTCAAGTCCAAATGGCTTCAATAAAGGAGATTTATACTAATCCTTTATCAATTCATGAGTTGAAAACTTAAGTACCTTTGACTGAAATTTCTTCTTTGCTGAGTCACTGAGAAACAAATGAAGAAGCGAGATGCTTTCTTCTGTTCTTCCCATTAAAAGAAGGCCACTGCTCTCCCTATCAAGATGATGCACCTGCACAAAAGCAGTCATATATCATCACAAAACCTGAACAAGCCAGTAAGAGTTAATGTAGAAAAAATCAAGAGATGTTGCAGATCTTCCTGTTAGACAGTCATGACATATGAGGACATATAATTCTTCCTTATATATTTTCCTGTAATTCAAGAAAGAGGCTCCTCCAGTAATAATATAAGCAGCGCCATCAATTCTGAATCATAAACAACAGTTTATCTTTCATTTTTCAAAAGTGAACAATAAATTTTTGGGTGTGACCACGTGGCCACAATACTCAGCAATGTTGGTGAAGTTGAAAATAATAATTAAATAAATCTCACTCCTTTATATGGTTTTGCTAGATGAATTAGAAAACATCCAAAGATTTCTCATAAGCGTGTAAAATAGGCTAAGGCGCCACATGTTCTTAGAGTGACTAAACCAACTCAGTAAAGGGTAGCCCGGTGCACAAAGCATCCCTGCTGAGCAAGTGTCCGAGGAAGGGTCCCGCCACAAGGGTGTGATGTAGGCAAAACTCACCTTACATTTTTGCAAGAGGCTGCTCCTTAAAGTAATAATAAGAGGTTTAAGCTGAAATAACAATAAGAGATTCTCGCAATACTGAAATTAAGAAGCATATCTTACCAGTCTAGGGCCCACATCATAATCATAAGAAAGTGCAGCAGCTGCCAAAGCATCCATGCTATTGTGAATAGGAAGGCTTCCCTAAAGCGCACAAAATAACACTATATTGTTAGAAATGCATAACTCACAGGACTTCTTTGAATGACAGATATAAAACAAACACTTTTCTTTTGAAAAAACAAGATGCTAACCTTTACTGGAAGTTTAGGGGGCTTATTTAGCACAATTAATGCAGAGTCCTGAATTTGTTTACAACTAATCATTAATTAAAAGCCAAAGGCCACATGAACTATTGTGCAAAAAACAGAAAAAAAAAGTATCGATAGACCTATTTGACAACCAATCATTTGTCACCAAACGTTAACTTGTGAAATGTACCTTGTAAGTTACAAGCCGTTGCAAGTAAGCTATCTCATCAGCATTAGGGTACAAGGTGCCACTTGGTATTATATCAAACCGCTTGGAAATTTTGGATTCTACAATAGATACAGGTACATAAACTCTCACACCCATCTCCATGATCTCATGATGCCTAATCTGTGAAATAAGAGTGTTTTGGATAGCTGAAAATTTAGATTATTTGAATAGTTGATTATGCATATAATAGATATAATCAGAATCAGTTTTTTGTGTAATGTTTATTGAAAAGTGGTTAAAAATAATTAATTGTGCATAGTATTAGAACAGCTGAAAAACAAAAGCTGATAAAAAATATTTATAAACTACAAATTACAAACATCTCAAAAGCAGAGAACTTATGAAAATAGTTGTTCCAAAAAAGAAGTTCTTAAACATGATTGAACTTTCACAAACAACTGGAATTGAAAATATTGTCTGAAATTATAGGTCCCAAACAAGATTCAACTGAATTAATAGTATTACCTTTCTCAAGGAAATTTTGGAACTGACAGTGCTAGATGAATCATTTATATCACTGCATTCAATCTGTACCTGTGAGGCCATAGATTCAGAATAAAGGAAAACCTTACCACTTCTAAATTTCCAAAATAAATGTAAAAACAGGACCAACTGACTAAGTTGTCTCAAATCCTAATTCGCCTTTTTGGTGTCAGTGGCATCTGGCAGTAGCAACCAGGGGCATATTAATAGTGACACAATTTAATCTTTTTTTTGAAAGATTTAAAAAGCTGTCACATTTATTCCAATGAACATTATTTTAGTAATATTGGAGGAGAAACTGTGTTAGACTATAGTACACATTTTTAAATTTATGTCTACCATACAAAGAGGTTAGAGCCTCTAATGTAGAGGTTAAGAAACTGCTCTCAAGACTTGAACAGTTGAACCTCTAACTTGTCATTATGACAAGGGAAGGCTTGTCCCCTACATGGGGGACCCTTCCCCGAACCCTAGCCTTGCAGGGAAGCCAACATGCATTGGGCTGCCCTTTTTACCATATAAAGACTAACAAATCTAAATATATATAAAAATTTAAAACTAATCATTTTTGTTTGCCTTTCAAGCGTAAAACCAGTAACAAGGTAATAAATTTTCTTGGCACTCTCTTCCTTTTTCCCTAGATTTTTCTGTGAACTGAACACAGCTTTGGGTCCATTTATACTCTGGAAAATACTAGAAGCGAAATATGGAGGAAAAATCAAAGGAAAACATAGAGTATAATTGGTTTTACTTATTTATGTCTGGAATGTTAAGGCTAAAAAATCTAAGATCCCGTTCAGTAAGAGTTATACTGCTGAAATGACAGAATTTGATGAAAAACAACAGCATTTGGTAAAATTGATTTTAGCTAATTAAGTGAGCCAAATGCTACTTAGAGTCCGTTTAATAGACTTAAGGATGCGTTTACTTTACTGCTAAAGTCACAATTAGAACAGGTGAAGTACACACATCACACATGTTGCTTAAAAAGATGCTTACTAACCCAAACATGTGCTTAAAGTGTCGCTTGCTAAGCATACCTCCCCCTCATGTATTAATTAATTGGCAGTTTCAACTTTTTCAGTTTCCGCATTTAACCCTTACCTTTGCCCTAACCCTACCCCTAATCCTACCTCTACCCTACCCCATCACCTCCTAAACCCCTACCCCAAACCCCGACCACCACTTCCCTACCCCCGAGCCCGTGCCCGTACCCCTACCCAGCCCCTTTCCTACCTCCTACCCCGTCCCCCCCATCTGTCCCCTGCCTACTACGTATGCGGTACAGGGTAGGGGCACGGGGATGGGTAGGGGTGGGGGGATAGTGATTGTGGTAGATGTAGGGTGGGGGTAATACAGGGACGGGTGGGGTAGTTGGGGGTAGGGTGGTGGTTAGGGTACGCGTAAGCATAGGGGGTAGGGGTAAGGGTGGGTTGGGGGTAGGTGTAGGGTGGGAGTAAGGGGTATGGGGACGGGAGGTGGGTGTGGGTTATTGGTAGGTGTAGGGTGGGGTAGGGTGGTAGGGGGAGTAGGGGTAGGCCCCCACGTATTTTACAAAAAATGTTTGTGTCTATATGTATAGGGTTATTTTGGACATTTTAATGTTAAGCGGTGTTTTAAATTTTGTGAAGTAAACATGAGCTTATAAACTGCTTACTTTAAGCATCGTTTATTAATGCAAGTCTTAGTAATATGTGAAGTAAACGTGTCCTAAGTGGTTTGTTTTAATGACAGCATAATTAGGCAATAAACAGTTCTTGTCTTTTTGACTTGCTTATTTGACTGAAATCAATTCTGCCGAACGCTTTTCATTTCAAAACAAATTTAACAATTAGGTTCAGCACATATCAGCTAGTTTGATTACTCTAATTACTCTACCCACAAGAAAAGTAAGCCGATTGATGCTACCAAATGCAGTCTTGATATATCTGCAAAAATTATATAGAAAACAAAAGAAATATATTTCATTTACCTTAGTAATTTTTAGGTAAAATCAAACTAATTAAAGCAACTTTCTAGGTATTGCCTCCGTTCCATTTTGGTTGTCTTACTTTCTTTTTGGATTGTCCCAAAATGAATGTCTTGTTTCCTTTTTTGGGAAGAAATATGTGGTCCATATCATTTCACTTTATTGTACTCAAATCCCAACCACAACTTTTACGTTTTACCTTTTCAGCCACTTTATTAATAATTGTGCCAAACTAAAATAAGACAACCAATATGGGACAGAGGTAGAATTTTTTCCTCCTTTTCTTAGATTTTTCTGTAATCCAAACATGCCTTAAGCTTGTGGGTGGTGACTAGAGTAGTATATCTATTATCTATATCCACACCATTTGTCTATGTAAAAGTTTCTATATTCTTTTAAGTTCATTTTTTATATCGTTAATTTTTTATTCTTGGCCCCAAAAGCCTAGAAGGCCCATAAACCCAGTTTCTGAATCAGCAGATTAACTTTCTTTTGAATTGATAAAGAACTTAAACAGCACCACTTACCAGACCCTTATTAAAATGGAATTGAATGACAGGACTAGGTATTTCGTCAAAGTAATATTTGAGCCAGCTAATGGCAGTAACTCGGCAAGAAGGCTGACTGGGACTGGTAGGACACTTCAAATGGAGACCATAAAATGGAGGCAAAGACATTAACTGTGGTGGCTTTGACCCTTCTTTGGGGCTGCCCAAACTGGCAACATTGTTTGAAACTCGGATCACACGCTCCTTAAGAGAAATGTCACATCTTTGCTTGGAGTAACGCCTGACAACAAACAGCAAGTGAGGGTCAAGCCCTCTTTTCCGCATGCTCAGCACATGATCGATGAAATTCCTGAAGATTAACATGAATCAATTCAATACACAAAGGTATGATTTTCTAATAAACCAACCTTCAGTACCACAATAATTTGGTGATATTGATTCTAATAAACCAACCTTTAGCAGGGGCAGACCTAGAACAAAATTTGGGAGGGCTAGAAATGCATCAGAATTTAAAATACTGAAATTGTAATAAAAGTATGAGAAATACATAATAATATTTCAAAAGGCATTAGGCTACTACTAATTGTTAGAAGATACAAGTTGAGACAATTGCGTCCTGCGTGAATTATAAAATATTTCATAAGTTTCAAATTATAAAATAAAAAGGGACAAGCATAGTTGTCATGGCGCATGGCGACATCCATGGCGCACAAGCCATTTCCCATGGCGATGGTGCAAATATGGCGTCGCCACGTGACAAAAAAACTTCAAAACGAATGATAGACACTATAATTCATCAACCCAACCACCAAAACGTGATAAAAAAGTTGAATAACAACATTCTAACCAAAACATGTGAAGTTAAAATAGTTTAAACTACTTCCAAAAAAAATAAAATTCAAAAAACATAAAAACTTCAGTGACTGCAGGTTGAAGTAAAAACTCCAAGTATTTAAAATATGAATTTAAAGTTTAAAGCTGTGTTGTAAGAACCGACCCAGACCGGCCGGTTCGGGCCGGAACCCTCCCACCCGGCCTCCTTGCCGGTTCGGTTGACCATCAAACCGTCCCAACCCGGGATTTGAGCAAAACTAGAAGGAATATTAGTAAGTAGGATTCGAACTCGCGCCTACCACTACCATTCCAAGCTACTGCCCAATGTGCTACACCAGCTAGTTGGTGAAAGCCGTTGCTTTAGTGTTCTTATATTGTGTTAACGTGAAATGATTTTAGTAAGTCTTAATTTAATTAGCTAATTACATAATTAATCTATAATAATAATAATAATTACATATCAATGTTATATTATTATACTTCCCAATCACGTAGGTAGTATATGATCTTCCAATTATTATTTTGTACTCCTAATTGGTATTATGTTCATTTTTATTATCTATCTAAATCCAAATGCATTTTAAATTTTGTTAGTCAATATAGTTTAATACAATTTTTTTGACATTGCTTATATTGTACTCCCTCCGTCCCATTGGACTTTGCCAACTTTCCCTTTTTGTTTGTCCCAAAAAACTTAGCCACTTTCCCATTAAAGCAACTAATTTGTGGTTCTGCACATTTCTCTCTCCTCTGCACAAATCTCAACCACACAGTTTTTACTATTCTTATTTCTCACCTACTTTGCACTTGACAAAGTCCACCGGGACAGAGGTAGTATTATCATTATTAAAGTTTGAAGGAATATAATTTTTATATTTATGAATTTAAATCTTTTATATAACTAATTATATATATACACACACATATATATGTATTGGTGTTGACCGGGTTTACCGGTCATTGACCGGGCTGACCCGCCGGGTCCGGGTTGACCCGTGACCCAATCATTTGTCCGGGTCACTTCCCAGTCCGGTTTTTACAACATAGGTTTAAAGGACTTTAAAGTGTTAAATGTTAATCATCTCAAGTTCTCAACTAAATTGAAGTATCAAATTGATACTTCTTAAGAAAGTCCAACAACTCCAGAAAGTGGCTTATAAATGCAGGTTTCATTTGATAAATCAAACTGATACTTCTTAATCAGAAAGGCTTTAAATTTCAGAAAGTGGCTAAATGCGGGTTTATTTGATAAATGAATAAGTCCAACAACTCCAACTGTTTCATTTGCCAAATGCAGGCTTTCATTTTCCAGTTATGGATAACAACAAAAGTAAACTTATTACTTATATATGCAAGTTATGGATTATGGCTTATAAGTTATAAACTTTGACAGATCAAGTGATCAACTTCAAAATGGGACTGATATTTGAAAATAAACTTATATATGCAAGTTATGGATTATGGCTTATATATGCAAGTTATTTTCAAATAAACTTGATCTGTCAGAATAGTTATGATGTTGGGCTTGCAAGTATCAAGTATGGGACTGAAGTTGATCACTTGATCTGTCAGAGCTGTTCTAAATTATGTGAACATTTATGTTAATTTAAAACTTCATTTAAAATTAACATAAATTCTCTGAAGTCTGAACATAAAGTAAAAACTTCATTTTAACATAAACTATAAAGTAAAGACTTCATTTTAAATTATCTGAACATACTGTTATTATATAGTAGTTAGCTGAAGTATAACTTTTGTAGTTGGAAGAAGTCAATGAGTTCTCATTTGTCGCGTCAGGTTGTGTCTTTTGGCGCTCATCTTTTTGCCGCAGACTCGCAGCTTTAACTTTTAGTGTCCGCAGTATGGCTTTGTTTGTTTATTTACTTTTGTTAGGGTTGTTAACTTGTTATTAGTAGAATAGACTAAAATACTAAGTTTTATTAGACTTTTATTAAGGTTAGCATTCATCAGGATTTCAGGCCCAACAACCCCAAAATCCCAGACCAAATGCCCGCTGATGTGTTAAAAAAGTCTGTGCATCGCCATGTGTATACCCAGCGCCACGACCCATTTTATGGCGCAGGGGCCATTTGCGCGTCATTGACAAGCTTGGGGACAAGAATAATTCCAACTATTAGTAATCTGCTTGAATTAATCTGAAGTATCAATTTTCTCAGAATAATGTCAACTATTGAAACAATTTCTCAAAATACTCCAGTGACTTCTTATTATCAATAAATGACTTGTAACATTTATGAGCAGGGGTGGATCTAACTTTGCCATTCGGGGGGGCAACTTTAATTAAATAAAGTATATTGACAAAAAAAGTTAAAATGTAATACAATAATGTGTATGTAACAAAATTTATTTTTCACATTTATTGCAACAAAAAATCAAAGATGAAAACAAATGTTTTAGTTATAAGCGTTTTTTCAAAGTCAAATACAAAAAAAAACACAACTTTTACTGTTCTCTACGCGTTTTCATCAATCGATATCTTGATTAGCTCCTACTTCAACAGGGTTATGGTATCTCTTCATTACCTCTATTGAAAACAATGAGATTACTAGTTACTACACTAATATTAACTAAGGACACGTTCACAAAAAAATGGGTCTACAAAAAATTGAGAAAAAATCACATATAAGTCAAGAACATAATTGGGCCTACAAAAAATTGAGAAATACTTTACAATTAAACGACTAAATGGCTAAGTATTTACACTATCTACTTTCATGAAATTGGAATGCAGGGATTTGAAATAGTTATTGAATACGGAGTATTCATTCATACCAAACAGGCAGTTAGAAACAACTACAGGGGAGAGCTTAGCTTGTTCGGTACTTCAACAAAACCAAAGCCCCCAACTTCAAGAACTGAATATCAAGAAGCCAAAGCCTAAAACCCTAAAATGGAATTGAAATTACAGAAATGAAGGATAAAGGTAGAAACCTGGTTACCTGGATGAAGGAAATGAAATTTACGAACTGACGGGGCGGCCGAGTCGACTGTCGATTTCTGGGCTTGGATAGTTGGACGGCTGGCCGCTACTTGCTTGGGAGATTATCAGAAAAACAATTGGGTTAAGGCATTAAAAGGCTCACCAGTAGTTGAGAGAGTAGAGACGGCCGCGTCCTATCCTTCGCTGAGAGCCTGAGATGCTCTTTCAATTTCCGTCACAAATGGCACGGCCAGGGATGGCTATTCTATTTCCGTCACTGAGTTTCTTTCTATGCTCGCTGAGATGCGCTGAGTAGACATGTCAATGGGCCGGGGCCGGGGCCGGGGCAGGGGCCGGCAGGTACTGCAAGACCAGGACTCGCCCCGTGACTTTTCAGGGCGGGTCCGCCCCGCCCCGTAACCTGCATGGGTCCAAGCTCGTTGACCCATGACCCGCCCCATGCGGGATGGGTCAACCCGTTCCGTCCCGTCGTAACCTAATTTTCTAATATGCATTTTTATTTGTGGGAAATTGTTACCCATTGAATCTACGTTAAGTTTATCTCTAAATAATAATTAAAAATTAATATATTAAATCAAATTCATGATACGCTAAAGGTTTCAAAAATTAAGGAAAAATTACTCAGACTTGAATAGTTAATCTATTTAATTATATTAATAATTGAATATATGTATTAAAATGCTACATATTAAGAAGACATTGATAATTCGTCGTTCATCTCATTCTAATATACTCTGTATACATTCATATATTCTAATATATTGTATACACACATATGTATGTTGAAGTATATTTGTAGTATAATTTAAGAAAAAATATGTATTCTTATATATTGGGCGGGTCGGGTCAGGGCGGCACGGGTCAATACTAATACCCGGACCCGCCTCATTTGTATAGGCGGACGGAGCGGACCTGCTCCATTTGCAAGACGGGGCGGGCCGGACCCGCCCCAAATGTCTCGGGCCAGGGAGGGTCATTGCGGGACGATTTTTTTTACATCCCTAGCGCTAAGTCGCTGGCTTGCTGAGTTGTTGGAGGCCTAGAGTCGCTACTGTAGCTTGAATGCAGGGGCAGGGATGCAGATTGTGGGCTGAGTTGCTGAGTTGGGGTCTTTGCCTTTTGGCTTTTCGGGAGTTGGGTTGCCGGCTGGCCCAGGGAAGGGTTTTGGGATTGGGCTAGCACAAGGGAAAGTGGAAAGGATTAAGGTAAAGGGCTTTTGAGATTGGGCTGCAGGGCTCAACTAATTAAATTGTAATATATATATATATATATATATATATATATATATATATATATATATATATATATATATATATATATATATATATATATATATATATATATATATATATGTATATATATTACAAAATTAAAAAAAAAATACTATAAGGCACGGGCACCTCCGGGCACTATGGTGGTTCCGCCCCTGAGCACGGTGTCCCTTCATCTTCATGTAACTTCCAGAGATAGAAATTGAATGTGCGGACAAAGAAGTGTGAAGTTGTCCGTATGCCAATAGCTAGATGCCTAGATGGTTTCATTTTAATGGGAGGGTAAATTAGCTATTTTTGAAATATATATTTATTTAATTTTAATTAGGTGGCTGTGATTAGTAATTATGTGGATGTGAATAGAATTTCCCTTGGGAGATGGATTCAAGATGAGCAAAATTTCTAGGGTGGCCCGGAATTTTTATTAAGTTTTTTTTAGGATGGGCCTAATATATATACTACTCCGTACTAGTTAAAAATAGAAAATTGAGGGTGGGTTTGGGTCTTCCATGGCCCTGAGCTCAACCCACCCTGTAATTATGAGTCAGTAGAACATTTTGAGATTTTTTTTTGGACATTCTTCTAAACCTATTATAGTGTCCGCTCTAGTTAATGCCAACATCCTTGATTGGGATGAGACTCGAACATGCGACCTCCTCTTTGGGAGATCAACAGTGATGCCATCAGAGCACAAAGTACTTGGCAATAATTTTTTTCCATAGTTGGAATTATTTTGAAACAATTGATTCTTTGAATTATTTTAAGCAAATCATTAATAGTTGAGATTATTCATTTCCATATCTTCCAATTATAAAATTATACGGAGTAATAGGTAAAATTCACCTATGAGGCTATGGGCCTATGGCACATATGTTTGTTAATAATAGTCATTTTTATTTAGGTATGTTGTTTAAACTAGCCAAAAATAGTAAACAAGTTAAAGATCATTCAAATAAATTTAAAATAAGGAAATTAACTAACTAAATCGAGATGAAATTAGAATAGAGTAAACAAGACTGGAAGACACAATCACAAGACTAGCCCAGCTTAATTGCTATAAACCTATAGGAAATTAACATTTAACAATGGAGTAAAATTTAGTTTATACTCAGTAAATCTGTAATGCACTAAACTCCGCTCACTCGCATAGTAAAATAATAACCAAAATATGTAAAGCAACATATCGGTTCAATATACTAGCAAACAATGTAACAAGTTTAATTAATCAGCTGTAAAATAGAGTTGAGACCAATCGGTCACAACAGAGTCTCTCTCCTTTGTGTATACATAGTTTCTATTTAGAACGTAGTATTTTACCCGTGCGATGCATGGATACAAATTACGGAGTATCTTTTATGATATTGGTTATTAGTAACTACTCAAGTCTGGTCTGGTTTGGTCTGATCTAGTCTGGTCTGGTTTCTTGGTATTTTTATAACTATCCAAGTCTAGTCTGGTCTGTTCTGATCTGGAACAAATTCCTATAAGTCCAATTTAAATTTTTGTATAAATGTTAAGGACACAAAATTTGATTTAATTTAATTATTTGGGCCCAACGTTAAGCTTGTAGGCACGACATATAGGTGTAAGACACTAAAGCAAATCTTGGTCCAATACAATATCAAGCATCTTCATAATCTTATAAGGTTCATATTTTAAACTTTTATTTAGATATTCTACGTATTTCATTAGGAGTCCCCAATTGTTCTTGGTTTGTTCTACGTTAGTAAAAGCACATTTTCTTCTTCTTATTAACTCGATCGTTAATGGAATACGTTCATATTATAATCGTATGTAATTAATATAAATAAAGACGGTAATAATCTTGTAGTAATATATTTACTCAATTACTTCGTATTTTATAATAAGAACAGTTTTTTAATCTACATTTTATTCGTTTCTATATTACTACCTCCGTCCCATTTATATTGTCCCGGAAGAGGGTGACACGGTTATTAAGAAAAGTGGATTTGTGTGGTTGATATTAATTGATAAAGTAAGAATAAAGTAAGAATGATTTAGAGCAACACAAACTTTGTCAAATATGGTATGAGACAATTTAAGTGGGACTTCCCGAAAAGGTAAAACGGGACAATATAAATGAGACGGGGGAGTATATGATCTCCTAACTAAATACGTAGTAGTTAGAGTTCTAATTCATTCGTTTCATTTTCGTAATGCAATTTAATAATTGGTGTTTTATGATGATTGAAATGGAAAAGAGATCGAGAATATTGAATCTATCTTCTATACTAACAGGAAAAAGGAAATTCAAGGCAATATGATCTCACCAATTAAGACACCAATCTTAACCCAACGTAGTTCTGCATTTATGCATCTTCATAATTTTGAGAAACATCTTTCTCATATTCGGCCAAAAAAAAATTAACAGCACTCAAACATCTTATACGTACTATATCGCACCTTCTAGGATCAGTTGCACGCCACAATATATTATATACGGCCAATACAGGCCAACCTTTTTTTCTTACAAAATATATATGGCCAACGGTTATTAGGCAGCGGTTGTTATTTGTTAATCGTACGGTCGTAACTTTTGGGGCAGAAATAGTTATGGCTTTGGTTTCCCTTTTTATATTAGTATAGATTTGTCACCCAAATTTGGCATTTTTTTATAGACAAGAGAGAGTACGTGCAAGGGGTGGGCACGACGTGAGCGCGAATTGCGCACGATGTGCGTTGTGATCTGCAGCCAGGAATGCTGGCCGGGAGGTGCACACGTTGTGGGCACTAGGCGCGCACATTGCTCTCAGAAAGGTCCACACAGACATGCCAAATTCTCCCACTATTTCGTTTTCCCCATACTAAACGGTCAACAAACCATTATTTTGGTGAATAGTGAGTTTAGATACCAGACCTAAGACGAGTTTTTCATGAATTTTGCCTTTGCATTGGAATTGGAACTTTACAAGTATGGGATTGATTGTGAGTTGATTCTCTCTTTTAATATTAATGACAATTAATTCTACTTATCAAATATGTTGTTAATTATGAATTGTGAATATATTTAGAGCCCGTGTGGTGACCCTGTTTTTTGGCTTATTAAGCTTATCAACCAACTTTTAATCAAACACGTAACTTTTGATATCGCCGCTGAATTGTGTAATAAGAAAATGTATGGTTGAAGTTATTTTTCTAGTTGTACTGTCTGAACCTACTGTAGAAGATCATTTTAGTTGTCTTTGCATAAACCTTTTCTTTTAATTTATTAATAAAAAATAATTGGAATATATATTTTTATAAATCAGCAGAATCAGCCAATGAAGACATCAAGTCACTTCAGCTAAATGGAAATTCATAAATTTCAGCATAATCAGTCAATGCATCTGATTTAGTATCACCAAATGAGCTCTTAATTAGTGATTTGGGATTGATCGATGAAGGAATATAAATCATGATCTAGAGTTGCATTGTTGATGGTTTAATTGCATGATTAATACTACCTCCGTCCCATTAGAAGGTTCTCATAGCAAAACGGCACAATTATTTAGACAATAATTAAATAAAGTATTTCAGGTATGTTTTGAGAAATAATTCTAAGAGATATATATTATAATGTAGTTAGTATTGATAACTGCGATGTTATAGATGTATTATTTTTAATATTTAATGATGAATTTGTCACTTAAGATTGTTATTGTTTCCTAAAATGGAAATAGGAACGTTTATATGGGACATCCAAAAAAGGAAAGTTGGAACCTCTAATGGGACGGATGGAGTATTTAATTTGTGTTTGAATAATTTAATGTTAACTTTTATAACCTAGAATAGCCACTAGTACTATAATTGCGTATAGATCAATTTAAGACTATAAAGGCAATGGTAAAATATATTATACACCCGGCTGTACCGTGTCACTTGTACAGCCAGGTATTTTTGTAATTATATGCAAACTGGAGGTCATTAGTTAAGGATCATGGCTTTTGCTTTCTCTATTTCTCCACCGTTCCTGCCTTTCCGATTTTTAGTTTTGCTTTTCGTTACTGCTCTTCCTCTTCCGTTACTTTA